CCTCCACACAGATCTCCTCTAGATCTGTCAGGTTTCGGGGCTGTCGCTGAGCAACACAGAGTTTCAGCTCCTTCCAAAGATGTTCTATTGGATTTAGGTCTGGAGACTGGCTAGGCCACTCCAGAACCTTGATATGCTTCTTATGGAGCCACTCCTTGGTTATCCTGGCTGTGTGCTTCAGGTCGTCGTCATGTTGGAAGACCCAGCCACGACCCATCTTCAATGCTCTGACTGAGGGAAGGAGGTTGTTGCTCAAAATCTCACAATAAATGGCCCCATTCATCCTCTCCTTAATACAGTGCAGTCGTCCTGTCCCCTTCACAGAAAAGCACCCCAAAGCATGATGTACCACCCCCATGCTTCACAGTAGGGATGGTGTTCTTGGGATGCAACTCATCCTTCTTTTTCCTCCAAACACAACGAGTGAAGTTTAGACCAAAAAGTTCTACTTTGGTCTCATCTGACCACATGACTTTCTCCCATGCCTCCTCTGGATCATCCAGATGGTCATTGGCAAACCTTCAGACGGGCCTAAGACATGTGATGACTTGAGCAGGGGAACCTTCCGTGCAATGCATGATTTGAAACCATGACTGCGTAGTGTTCTACCGACAGTGACCTTTGAAACTGTGGTCCCAGCTCTCTTCATGTCATTGACCAGCTCCTCCCTTGTAGTTCTGCTGATTCCTCACCTTTCTTAACATCAGTGATACCCCAGGAGGTGAGATCTTGCATGGAGCCCCAGTCCGAGGGAAACTGACAGTCATCTTTAACCTCTTCCATTTTCTAACAATTGCTCCAACAGTTGATCTATTCTCACCAAGCTGCTTGGCAATTGCCCCGTAGCCCTTTCCAGCCTTGTGGAGGTCCGCAATTTTGTCTCTGGTGTCTTTTGACAGCTCTTTAGTCTTGCCATGGTAGTAGTTGACATCTGACTGACTGTGGGGTGGACAGGTGTCTTTAAAGAGCTCAGACAGGTGCTACTAAGTTAGATTAATGAGTGGAGTAGAGGTGGACTTTTTAAAGACACAGTAACAGGTCTTTGAGAGCCAGAATTCTTGCTGTTTCTTAGGTGTTCAAATACTTATGTTCAGCAGTGCAAGACAAATACATTCTTTAAAAATCATACAATGTGATTTCCGGAATTTTTTTTTAATTCTGTCTCTCAGAGTGGGAATGCACCTACAATGTGAATTTCAGACCCTTCCATGATTTCTGAGTGGGAGAACTTGCAAAATCGCAGGGTGTTCAAATACTTCTGTTCCTCACTGTAAATATAATGTTTGGGGTTTCTAAGTAATTTTCTAGCAAAAAATACTGCTTTTTACTTGTAAACAAAAATTGCCAAAAAAATGGTCTGATCTGGTCTTGGTCTTCAAGTGGATACTTAATAATTCTCTACTGATTTTCTCCCAAATTATGTTCTTTTTTATATGCCACTTATACAATTTTGGAGTGACTGGACTGGTTGTTTATTCTATTTGCACTTTAAGTATTGGTAAATATCTATTAAATTATAGTTACTATGTATGATAATCAATAGATTGTATGGAAAACATTTCTTTATAAAGATCATGTGCAGCTATGAAATGATGTTGACTGATATCTGTTGTGGTCAGTGGTCACTTTTGTACTTAGAACATTGTGATTCATGTTTGTGTTCATAACTTATTCATTAAATATTACCTGAATTTTTACTGCAGTCTTTACTGACCTTCACAGACCTTCAGAGGTGATCAGGCATGCAAGCAGAATTCAACAGCCCTGAGGGCAAGCTATTGTCAGTGTATTACAGAGTATTCTATTAACTTGCCAGATCTGTTTGTCTCACCTTACAAGTAGTTGCAATAGAAAGAGGAGGGGCGGAATGGGCAGCATGATGCTGGCAGTTGCTGAATACAGAGAATCAATATTGATCAAAACAGATTTTAGAGCTTACTTGATGAATTGTTTCTTCAAAGCATGGTTGTGTGTGAGCTATACATGGCACCCATAGGCATGAGATTAGGAAAGACAAGATTGGGAAAGAGCAAGATCCTTGTTTGAATAAGGAATGATGAGCTTGCATTGGGAAGGTAAAACGAGACCTTGAAACAGTTATGACAGCCTGCAATACCACCAGGCACCACTAGAGGAACACTTAGTAAAAATCTAGCTGACCAGATACACATGCAGATACAAATCTTGCATACAATCTTTTGTACACTTAAGGGCTTTGTAACAGTTACGTAATCCCCATACACTTATGAGATCCCCAAGCTATCCTGCAAGTTTGAATCCATACAAACTTTAGCCTTTTCACTACCTAGCCCCCCCCCACACACACACGCACACCAGGCATACCACCCAGGGTAGCTTGCCACCATCTGCAAATTGTCATCCAAATGGTCTACTATAGGCAACCATACACAAAACACATTACCGGCAGTTAGATTTGCCTTTGTCTATGGCAGATATGACTACTTTCACACACTTACACTAATCTGCATGCAGTCATATTGGTTGTCGCAATCTCTGTCAGCCAACTGCTGCAAATACGGAGAACAGTAAGGCACAGCCACATGATGCAACCTTACACAGATTAGCAGTAAAATTAAAAGTGAGCATAGTAATATGATTCAACAATCTCTCTAGGAGTTAGGAATTGTTAGCTAAGAACACAGAATTCATTTTTATTCATTTTTATATTTAATATCCCTGGCCATTTAATGAATAGAAATACTGTATGTACAGAAGTAAAGTTTCAAAAAGAACATGAAAAAAATAACATGTAGAAATATTAGCTATTTTGCCTTAAAATTAAAACAGAAATAAATGTTACTGTTGAGGCAATGTTCTTTCTTCCTGTTGGAGCATGCCTGACATTCAGCAACAGCCGTGCTTTTGAACACATTCCAGACAAATGACAATGTCGCACACTACCTAATTTAGGTAGCAATGTAAAATGGACCTTTCCCACTGGCCAATAATCTCTGGAGATGATACTATCAGGATCTGGGTCTGAACCTATAACCTCTGTGGTGGCTGGCTGTGGCTCTTCTCTCTGCTCTACTAGGGATATTGGACATATCCCTGCCTGATTCCTTGGGCAGCTTTGTTTTGTTCCTTGTTTCTTGTGAGCCTTGAACCTTTTGCAGCTCACATGAACATCCTGATTTAAGCCACATCTCTGCACTACCTGTTTGCCAGAATATTCTGTTATCCCCAGCCAATATCTTTGTTCCTGGCATACCTGTAGCTGTCTTTATCTTTGCTACCACACTGTCAGGAATGGACTGGCCAGCAATGGTGGGACTCACCTGCCTTATGAGCTGCAGTACCAGGGCTGGCCAGCGGGTGCTCCCAGCAATCAGAGACTCAACCTTGCAGCCAGTCAAACACCTGGAACTGATTATACTGGTGTATTTAGGGATGGCCACACCTGCAGACTCTGCCTTGGTGTGTGTTTCTCCTGGGCCCTGTATCCTGTTCCTGCTCCCTGTTCCTCTTCCTGTCTGATTCGTTGCTGACCCTGCTCTGATCCCTGGCTTTGTCTGACCATTCTCCTGCTCCTGATCCCTGGCTTGTCTGACCATTCTCCCTGCCTGACCCTCTGTACCACGCTGCCCGCTACCTGCTGAACCTGGCTTGTGACCCCGACCATTCTCCACTTGCTCCCCCTGTACCTACCTGCCCGATTGATATTGACCCGGCCTGCCTGACGACGCTTGCATTGTATGTACTGTCATCTGTGGGTGGTTTGGTTTGGTTTGTTTGCACTGTGTTATGTTTTAGTATTGCACTGCGTTTATGTTTGTATTGTTAGTGTTAATAAATTATATTGTTTATAACATATCTGAAGTCTGCGTTTCCCTGCGTCAGTCACACACCTCTGGTCATACCCGGGAGCCCTGACATTACACCAAGGCCAATCCTGACCAGAAGTGGCTGCACAGGGAAGCCGTCTTGGTTTGTTGATGGGAAGGATGGATCTTGATGAGGTTGTGTATTTATATCTGCTAGTGTTTGATGACAGAGAGTATGCTTATCAAACTCTGAAGGAGTATCCCCGGGATGAACTGCTAGAATGTATACGGATCGCTCATGTTCTAGTAGATCAGGGCACAGAATTCTCTGAGGTGCAGCCATTGATTCAGATTTGTGCGGAGTTGGTTTCATCTGGTACCCCCGAATGCAGGGATGAATTTTTGCCGCCATTTAGTGCAGACCAGGTAGAGTCCCTGGTATGGTTATTAGAGGATGAGGTGGATTGCTTCTTGGAGCATTATGCTGCATGTTCACCACAGATACTAAGAGATTGTATAAACGCAGTGCAGTCTTTGGTCAGACAGGCTTTGTGTAAGCTCAGCTTTGTTCAACCCATACTGCAGACATGGACAGATTTGTTGCACCCAGCCTCAGTCAGCTACAAAAACCCAGTCCTGCTTCTAATCTATTTCCTCAAAGCTCTATTCCTGCATTCCCAACAGCTCCTCCTGCCCTGCTATCTACCGCATGTCAGTACCCTGTTCCCACTCGCTGCACCTATCCTGCCTTTAACCCTGTAAAAAAAAGCCCTCTGTAGCAACTGTTCCCTCCTCTGTTCCATCCTCCAGCTCTTCTCTGTCTCTAGCTGCTCCATTCGTTTGCAGACCTGCGTTTACTTGCAGTGCTCCAGTAGTTAAAACCAGAAAAAAGCGAAAATTCTTTCCAACCAATACCATCCTGCCAGTACCCAAACCGTGAGAGCCTGCCGTCTGAGAACCTGCTTTCCGTGGTTCAGCCTGGTGCCTCGGCACCCGCACTTCAGCCTGAGGTCTGTACCCAGCCTGATGCCTGTACCCAGCCTGATGCCTGTCTTCAGCCTGATGCCTCTCTTCAGCCTGATGCCTCTCTCAGCCTGATGCCTCTACTCAGCCTGATGCCTCTACTCAGCCTGATGCCTCCACTCAGCCTGATGCCTCTACCCAGCATGATGCCTCTAACTGATCCACTGATCCAGCCTGATGATCCTATTAGGCCAGTTGACTCGATGCCCGCTGTTGATCCAGATGATCCGGTACCTGATCCGGTGCCCGCTGTCGTGCCAATTGACTCAGAGCCCGCTGTCGTACCTGGTGACTCGGTGCCCACTGCCTTGCCAGATGACGCGGTGCCCGCTGTCGAGCAAATGACCTGATGCCTGGTGACCCAGTGCCCGCTGTCATACCTGGTGACCCGATGCCCGCTGTCGAGCCAGACGATCCAATGCCTGGTGACCCGGTGCCCGCTGTCATGCCAATTGACTCAGAGCCCACTGTCGTGCCGGATGACTTGGTGCCCACTGTCTTGCCAGATGACGCGGTGCCCGCTGTTGAGCCAAATGACCTGATGCCTGGTGACCCAGTGCCCGCTGTCATACCTGGTGACCCGATGCCCGCTGTCGAGCCAGACGATCCAATGCCTGGTGACCCGGTGCCCGCTGTCGTGCCAATTGACTCAGAGCCCACTGTCGTGCCGGTTGACTTGGTGCCCACTGCCTTGCCAGATGACGCGGTGCCCGCTGTTGAGCCAAATGACCTGATGCCTGGTGACCCGATGCCCGCTGTCCAGCCAGACGATCCAATGTCTGACCCAGTGCCCGCGGTCATACCAGTTGACTCGGAGCCCACTGTCCTTGCCTGGATGACTCGGTGCCCGCTGTCGAGCCGACCTGATGCCTGGTGGATGCCCGCTGACCTGTCGCTCCGCAATGTCTGACCCAGTGCCAGCGGTCATTCCAGTTGACTCGGGGCCCGAGCCCGCTCCGCCTGGGGGTGCCCGCCGCTCCGCCTGGGGGCCCGAGACCTGTCGCTCCGCCTGGGGGTCCGTCGCCCGCCGCTCCGCCTGGGGGTCCGTTGCCTGCCGCTCCGCCTGGGGGCCTGAGACCTGTCGCTCCGCCTGGGGGCCTGAGACGCTCCGTCGCTCCGCCTGGGGGCCTGAGACCTGTCGCTCCGCCTGGGGGCCTGAGACTTGTCGCTCCGCCTGGGGGTCCGGCGCCCGCCGCTCCGCCTGGGGGTCCGGCGCCCGCCGCTCCGCCTGGGGGCCCGAGACCTGTCGCTCGCCTGGGGGGTCCGGCGCCCGCCGCTCCGCCTGGGGGCCCGAGACCTGTCGCTCCGCCTGGGGGTCCGGCGCCCGCCGCTCCGCCTGGGGGCCCGAGACCTGTCGCTCCGCCTGGGGGTCCGGCGCCCGCCGCTCCGCCTGGGGGCCCGAGACCTGTCGCTCCGCCTGGGGGTCCGGCGCCCGCCGCTCCGCCTGGGGGCCCGATGCCTGTCGCCCCGCCTGGGGGCCCGATGCCTGTCGTCCCGCCTGGGGGCCCAATGCTTGTCGCCCCTGCCTGGGGGCCCGGCACCCGCCGCTCCGCCTGGGGGCCCGACGCCCGCCCCGCCTGGGGGCCCGATGCCTGTCGCCCCGCCTGGGGGCCCGATGCCTGTCGCCCCGCCCTGGGGGCCCGGTGCCTGCTGCTCCGCCTGGTGGCCCGCTGCCTGCTGCTCCGCCTGGCCCGATGTGCCTCTGCCCGGTCTGGTCCACGCCCGATGTGCCGCCTGGTGGCCCGCTGCCTGCTGCTTCACCTGGCCCGATGTGCCTCTGCCCGGAGTCCAGCCCGATGTGCCTCTGCCCGGAGTCCAGCCCGATGTGCCTCTGCCCGGAGTCCAGCCCGATGTGCCTCTGCCCGGAGTCCAGCCCGAGGTGCCCCTGCCCGGAGTCCTGCCCGGTGTGCCAGTCTTTGATATCCCGCCAGTTACCAGACCCGGGCGGTGGAACATTTTGCCCAGCTAGGACTGTTTGGAGCGTCCTGAGGCCGCTCCTTGAGGGGGGGGTACTGTCAGGAATGGACTGGCCAGCAATGGTGGGACTCACCTGCCTTATGAGCTGCAGTACCAGGGCTGGCCAGCGGGTGCTCCCAGCAATCAGAGACTCAACCTTGCAGCCAGTCAAACACCTGGAACTGATTATACTGGTGTATTTAAGGGATGGCCAGACCTGCAGACTCTGCCTTGGTGTGTGTTTCTCCTGGGCCCTGTATCCTGTTCCTGCTCCCTGTTCCTCTTCCTGTCTGATTCGTTGCTGACCCTGCTCTGATCCCTGGCTTTGTCTGACCATTCTCCTGCTCCTGATCCCTGGCTTGTCTGACCATTCTCCTCTGCCTGACCCTCTGTACCACGCTGCCCGCTACCTGCTGAACCTGGCTTGTGAACCCGACCATTCTCCGCTTGCTCCCCCTGTACCTACCTGCCCGATTGATATTGACCCGGCCTGCCTGACGACGCTTGCATTGTATGTACTGTCATCTGTGGGTGGTTGGTTTGGTTTGTTTGCACTGTGTTATGTTTTAGTATTGCACTGCATTTATGTTTGTATTGTTAGTGTTAATAAATTATATTGTTTATAACATATCTGAAGCCTGCGTTTCCCTGCGTCAGTCACACACCTCTGGTCATACCCGGGAGCCCTGACACACTCATTATCAACACTTGGCTTGTTCATTGACTACGCTTCCGTCTGTTGCCATCAAGCTTCTACATGTTACCAAGCTTTGGCTTGTTTGCTGACTATGTCTCTGCTTGATCCCTACCTTTTACATCTTCTACTGGACTCCAGCTTGACCACCTCCTGATGGAGCGATCTTGAGGACCATGACCTGGTACTAGCATGCAGCAAAACCCATCTCCACCATCAGGAGCTCTGGTGAATACCAGCTAGTACTTAGAACCCACTCCTCAGATGGACCTAGGCCATCCACTAGTAGGATCTGCTGGTGAATTTCCTACTGATTACTCATGAACCTCTGTACTGCTACAGCCATTGGCCTCCGAGCCTGATCCTAGACTGGGACAGGTGCCTTTCCTGGTGTGAGGAAAGTTGTTATTTTTTGAAGGGGTATTACTTTTATGATTACATGGATAAGCCAGTTCTGATGGCTGAGTTAGAGTCTGGATTTCCCACACCAGAACATCACCCTGATTGCAGAACACATCCCGACTGCTATAGACAGGGGCTATATAATCATTCTGTCAGTTGTAAGACCAGAACTAGCAGAAGGAAAAACTGTCATCTCTCTATGACTAATATTTTGGATCCTATGAGAGATAAACCATATTTCCTCTAATCTACAAAAATGAGTGGTGCTTCCATTATGGAGTGACCTCTATCTCCTGCTTTTGTAGTTTTCATTCACCAACTCTGGAGGATTCTTTTGATGGCTTGTGAAATAAAAGGCCAGCAAAGGGCTACAGGATTCTGCCAAATATTCATTAGTAGCGAGGTGTTAAAGAATATGTAAACCCAATTTTCATATTCCTGATATGTACCCGCTGTACCATGCACTTTATAAAAAAAAGTATCCTGCTTTCTTGGTATTGCTTCCTTGTGTGTGAAATACTTGATATTCTTGCCAGTCTCGCTGCTTTCCTATTAAAAACTGACCACGCTAGGCAAGAGAGCAAAGCATATTCTTGATATGTACCTGCTGTACCATGTACTTTTATGAAAATGTATCCTGCTTTCTTTGTATTGCTTCCTTTGTGTGAAATACTAGATATTCTTGCCAGTCTAGCTACTTTCCTATTAAAAACTGACCACGCTAGGCAGGAGAGCAAAGCATGGTCAGTGTTCTGGCTGTGCTGGGAGCTAATCCAATGATCAGGTTTGTAATGACACGCTCCCCCCCCCCTGCACAGCCATTTACTGGGAAGATCAGTGTACTGCTGTTTCTCCTCCCTGAGCTCCTAATGCAGCTGTGAACAGAGGGTATGTGATTACTTAATAAAAAGGGGGAAAATGTATTTACAATGTTTTTATATATGTTTTTGTATATACAAATGCTTTGCCTTTCATTTCTATTTTAAACTGTATGGGTTGTTTTACAAGGTGAGGTGAGGGATCACATACAGAGTACTTTTTACCTTTTTTCTTTTTTTAATCCCAACAAATTTTATTGTCAAGATAATAGAGAAAATGGAACAGTACTTACAGAATCCACAGTGACATTACTGAAACAGCAGGATTACACATAACGTTTTATCTTTATTATTAATCAATTCATTCCTTTTTTTTCTCTTTTTAAAAAGTTTCCAGTACCATTACAACCTGTCACTAAAACCCTCTACACCAAGTCCTGAAATGTTTACAATATTGTCAAAATTAGAATCAGTTTTTAGATTAGAACATATGATGACCTTGAATACTCTGGGCAGTCATGTTGATGAACAAAAGCCCAGAGAACTTTTTGTACTGACCTATGAAATCTCAGTGATAAACAACTCAGATTTTGCTGTGAGCTTCTAAACTGAAATAGTAGCAACACCTGATGGTTATGTTTCTTAAAAAAAAAACATCATATCAGTGGGACCCTTGCAGTGTAGTTGAATTTGTGCAGCTAAGAATACAATGTACTAAGCTCCATGAATTAGGAATTGCAGATACATCCAGTTGCAAGTAGTGTATTTTACCTTTGCACCCCATGTCATTGGTTTGTATACAGCTGGAACGCAAGTAACCAAATATCACTATAGAATATTGACCCAGGCAGGGGTGGACTGACCAATCGAGCACTCGGGTACTGCCCGAGGGCCCGGGGTCAGTAGGGGGCCCCATGAGATGCCCCTGGTACCTTTCATTGGCTTTTTGATAGGCTTTTTTGGGTGTGGGCGAGGACACAGGGGCCCCATGATCCCCTATTGCCCGGGGGCCCCATGAGTTGTCAGTCCACCCCTGGACCCAGGGAATATTTGATTGCCTTCAGGGGATCAGGGAGGGGTTTTTATTTCCCCTGATGCAGCAAATTAGAGGATGCTTTTTTCTACGTTTTTCGCCTTCCCCTGGATTACTGTGGGTATAGGGTTCTGTATATGGAGGTTTCCTATTTATATATTTCTTCCATTGGTTGAACTAGAAGATGAATGGTGTTTTTTTCAACCTATGTAACTCCTGGTGCCTACAAATTCAATGATCCCTTTATAATTCCTGTTCATTTCATGTCTGTTTGCTGAAGACATTAATGCTGAAGAGATATTCCCACATATTTCTGTGATAACCCCACTTGGTGTACCATGAATCTAGTTTGAAAATATTCCCAGGGCACGTGCATATATCTAATGAACTGAAAGGACTGTAAACTGGAAGAAAAATTATGGCTGCTTCCGTCTTGATTAAAAGTTTCTCTCCTTGGAAGAGAAAGCGTGGGCATAAGAGAGGAGGCACTGTAAATAAATATCAGTTCCTGCTCAAGGCCGGACATACATGGGTCGAAATTCGACAGATTTTTCGTCCGAAAATCTTACCTAAGAATAATCGGCCGATTTTCGCTCTGTTAGTGAATCAATGGCACCGGCTGATTTTCTTGGTTTCTCCCCTTTTTGGTGATCGGGCATGTTGGGAAATTTGTGAATAACTACCGATTTTTGACTCAATGATTGTCAAATCGTACGATCGTTTTTCCAAAAGGAATATGCGCATGAGCCGTGACCTGGAAGGAACAGAA